ACTTATCTAATCTATTTTAGAGTCTATAATTTGTAGAAAATACATAAAATTTGTTTTCTCTGGGTGGGGGACAGCTTCCGACGGGGGACCCGGCCCCTCACTAGCGCCATCCCTGTCTTCATTCGAAGCTGTCCGGCTTGATATTGCCTTTGGGTGGGGTTGTGAAGTTTATTGACATTGAAAATCATTTCTAATTGAACACATTTCTTCTATACTACTTTATGAATTACACTTACCTACAATAATCGTTCCAGTGACTGGTGTCACGCCAAATTGTGTAATAACATATTTGATGATGAAAGCTACAAATATACTGACAATAGCGAGCTCTGCAGATGCTCCAAGACAGAACGAAATAAGCGATGGATTTGTAATAAGACGCTTCATTGCTTGGAAGAATGCTATGAGAGAAAATAATGTTGGTTTTTTTAAAATTAAAGATAGGCCTACTGATACTTCTTTAATGCAGCGGCGTATACTAGGGGGTCAAATCGCCTTATTTAGCGAGCTGGAGCCCCTCATATAACCATCGAGCACCCCCTCCCACTTCACCCAATTCGCTTCCCCCATCAGTACCCCATTTAAAGATTCCTAGATACACCACTGCATCAATGTAAACCAGTATATAGTCACATTTATGCCACCGACAAATTTTAAAAATCTGAGAATCACTGTTGTTAGAGAATATTTCTTAGGTAGAGAAATTCACTTCATGTCTAACAAGTTCGTTAACAAATTTAAAATAAGGTATATCTACCAGAGGTGTAGCTAGGTGGTGACGGACCCCAGTGCAAGATAATTGCCGAGTTATTCGAGTTGGATTCGTCGTGCGACCGACGCACGACGAATCCAACTCCGCCCCCTGCGAGCAATAGCTAGATGACGCAACGCCGTCTGCTGATTGTCGGTAGCACTCTGATCTGATCGTCATTAAAAACGATCCGTTGTGTGCGCGCGTCGTGGCGTTGCGTTCTTCATAGAATCGCGTCGGCCCACGATCGTCGGTTACGCAGTGAGAGCTCGGTTTAAGCTGAATCCCGGAGGGACGGATACATGGTTTCTTTCTGACTCTGACCCTCTCGCAAATGTCCGAAGTATATTTAATCAGGGTAAGTGTCCTAAAAAAAGGAACCTGATCGGATGCAGAGACAGAGCCTTGGTGGGTGTCTACCACCTGGAACTGTTGATGCTAATACATTTTTTAACAGATATTACGCTATTTACAGCAGAAATATTTATAAAATTTGTAACAAAATAAAAACCAAGGACATTGAGCACAGTCATTTTACTTCGTTTAGTACATTGAACTTTTCATGAGTCTTTGATAAAGTATAATATTGACAACAATAGAGCAAACATCGACCTACTTGCAGTAAACAAAAACGATATTCATAAAGTATGATCACCTGATGTTATTCAAGAACATGAACAATATAATTTTAAAAAAAATATCAACAAAAACGTGCGTGCCAATATTTCAATTAGTTTAGAAATAGGCCTACTGTATGCTTTCGATCAAAATGTATTTTTAGTACATGTACAATGTACTTGGTGGTACGAAGTATCGTAAATATCTGAATGAAAGAAAATAGCCTTGAATAAATTCAAAAGATTTTCATACTTGTTTTTTGTATGGATTCATGTTGTCTAAATATTTATTAATCCCCGACGTGTCCCTATACAAGTAGGCCGCCATGCCACATTATAATTTGATTTAACAATATGCTTGTTGAATAAGAATATGTGTTACAGACGTATTGTATTAGATCTTTGTCGAATAACATTAACCAATGTAATAATAAGCATAGTAAGCCTGCTGGTATTTGGTATTGTGCATAATATAATGCGCCAATCGCAGGCGAAGTCCTCGATTTGGAGGATAAAACGATAATATCCCTAGAAAAGCTCAAGCAACACACTGAAATACCGTCCAAAAACAATAACAATATAAGCTCACAATGTTAAACTAGTGAGTCTTAATCTTTGATAATATACTGAAAATGCAGTTCAGTCGACCAGAGTCTAGCTTCGTAACAAGGAAATAAAATTTCACAATCTCGTATCATGACGTGCTAGATCTACATAGATTTATTTAATGTATATAGATCAGACGTGAGATAATTTGCGCCTAATTTTTACTACCCTCTCCCTACAGGCCTAGCTAATTAATACAAATAAAAATCTTAATCTTCATATTCTAATCGCTTGTCTCCATAGTTGGTCTGTCTTTTCTCCTTTCGTTTATGGATCCCACTTTGGCAATGTTTGTAGCGACCTTAAAAACAATCTGGAGCAATAAGCGATTTACCGTATTTAAAGGTACTATGTCGGATTGTTGGAATAAGTTACGGATAGGCCTATGATTAAAAAGTTTACCATGTTCCGAAAGGTTTGGCAGTAGTGGTGGTATCTCTTGTCGGCGTGCTGCACTTTGAACGCGGAACACATTCCAGAGAAGCCCGTTTGCGATATAAAATTGAATTAGTTAAAAAAAAAATAAATAAAAATAAAAAGAAAAGAAATTGATGGCGTGTAATAGGCAAGTTGTAATTGTAATTGTAATAAAATCAGTAATTATGTTTCATGCAATTTACCTATTGTAACAAAATATAGAGGCTGTATTTTTTAGGAATTCTTTTAAAATATAAGAAAGATATATTTTAAGTTATATTTTTAGATCCTAGGCCTATTGAACGAGCCCCTAATAGCACCGGCCGCCAATCCATTCTACTGTTTGCACTGCCCATACCTACGCCATTGATATATGTCATAAATAATGCCACCAAAATTTCGTATAAGTAAAAACACCACAAGGCACTTTATAAAGCAAGTAATAGACTTTAATCCTGATCGCGGACTCATTGAGCCCGATCGTATAGCAAACATGTTTCGAGAAAACGATTCTCATCATCAGTGCGAAAATGACAAATTTTGCCAAAGCTTATATGGCTTTATACACATGTATGTAAATAAGCAAATTAGAAAAACGACTAATGAAGCAAACCACAAAACGTAGCCAACCACCCGTCACTGCGGATTAATGTAAATTATATATGTGTAGTTAAGAGATAAAAAAATAAGAATAAGATCCACCTACATTTGATAATATTGAGAACCCCTTTGTTAGTGTTTTCTCTTGATGAACGAATAGTTTGCAGGAATTCAACATCTGCCTCGCTTTCTTTTTTGGCAGATAGGTCTACCTTGAATCGTGCTGGCATTTTTTTCGGGAAGAGGAAGAGCGGAATGCTGAGGATAATTATAACGGTACCAATGATGAGGTAACCGAGCCACCAGGCTCCAATCCAGCGTGGATCATACATGTTCAGGTCAGGAATATCTTTTGAATCCACACGATCAAAATCGACGAACAGGGATAATGACAATGCAGTAAACATGTATCCAGAAATTGGTCCAAGAGAAATCCCGACGAAAATCAGAGCTGAAACATTGTATAACAATATGTTAGTCGTTGTGAGTATGTGTTTGTAATTTCTTTGTTACCATATTTATAGAGGATGCTGCCCCTTCTAGCTCATCCCTGGAGGTTTGCTGATGTTTAAGCGCCCTCTTAAATATATGAAATAATGTGATGCTCTATGATATTGAAACAGTGGAGAAGTTTGTAGTCACCATAAAAATGTGTGTTCTGTTACAGAATTTTAGCATAGAATCCTTGACTCGGAAAGCAAGCATCACCGATCTACACCTCCACTAATTATGTTCTGAGAGAAATTAAAACCCCTAAATTTCGAGATCTATCATTTTTGACAATTATGTATTACTTACCGATGTAGAAAACTGTTTGATGTGTCGGCACACTGTCGTCAATGTAAGTCAATGAAATTGGTATAAGGATAGCACCGCCAATGCCTTGCAAAATAAACCCAATGATCAACCAAGTCGTGCTACCAAAGCCGGTTCCCTTATTGTCACAGTCATTGAAAAGTGAAAGAGAACCATTGGAGGCGAATGGGAGACCTCCCGGAAAGAAAGGAATCGACGACATGTTGTTTTGTTTACCAGGTCGGATATTGACACCGTTTTCAGTATTATTTTGTAGTTTTGATGGATCAACTCCACCTTTAGGATTTAAGGGATCAAACGGATTAAATGTTGTTGTGGATTTAAATGTGTCCGGTGTACCCGGAGAATCAGTCCCTTGGGGTAGTTGTGAAACATCAAAATCGGTAGGTAGTTTAGAAGGATCAAACCCTTCTGGTAGTTTAGAAGGATCAAACCCTTCTGGTAGTTTAGAAGGATCAAACCCTTCTGGTAATTTAGACGGATCAAACCCTTCTGGTAATTTAGACGGATCAAAGCCAGTTGGTAGTTTTGAAGGATCAAACCCTGAAAATATTGATGGGTCAAATCCAGGAATCTTCGAAGGGTCAAAATTAGCGTGATTTATATTTCTTAGGAAACAATAATCTGGAATGCTGAAGTTACCATTTAACTTTGATAAGTCGGTTACATCTTTGGAAAAATGCGGGAAGGCGCAGATGAAAATTCCAATGCCAGTTAATAAAGTGCCTGAACTTATCCATCGAGGCCTATGGGCGTTGTGTCCTAAGAAGGACACAAAAAGAACGAATATCACACTAGTGATATCATCTATGACGCTTAAGAAGCCAGATTCTGTGCTTGAGAGTTGGAACTCTTTCTCGAGAGTTGTAAGCACGCCGCCTGTGTAAGCAAAAACACTCGTTTTCAGTAGCATTGTGGGTACCAGAAATAAGAGAAAGACTTTAGGATTGGCGAGAAATTGCAGGCACGAAGGGGTGAATCGTCCAATTCCACATTTGGTGTCTCTGTCGACGTCGAGGGTATCCAGCGACGCATAGCGAGAGTCAGATGGTCGACTCAAATTACTCATTCTTATTATGCACCACACCAATATATAGGTCTATAATTGTCCACAACTCTGGAAAAAAACATAGTTATTTTTAGTTATGTTTAATATTGCTGGGGTAAAGCTTGCAGAACTTAACATGGACTGTAAATTACACATGTAGCACTAGTCAAGAAAAGAAAGCAATTATCGGTCCTCCAGCAGAGGAGTATATATTACAGAAAACGTTAATTTAGAAGGGAA